TGATTGATAAGAAATCCGAGAAATTTCCCAGACTCAACTCCAAATACACATTTCTTGGGATTGAGCATGATATGGTGCCGCCTGAGTGTGGTGAAAGTTTCTCGGAGGTCCGACAGATGGTCTGTCTGGACTTAACAATCATATCATCAATGTATGCCTCGACGTTCCTCCCAATCTGGTCAAAGAAGACGGTATTTATCATTCTTTGGAAGGTGGCCGGGGCATTCTTCAGACCAAACGGCATGACCGTGTAGCAATATAAACCTTGATCTGTGACGAAGGCCGTCTTCTCCTGATCTTTTTTCCACAAAGGAATCTGATGGAAGCCAGAGTAGGCGTCCATGAAACTCATCAAAGCATGGCCGGCTGTTGAGTCGACCAGATTATCAATTTTGGGCAGAGGATAACTATCCTTTAGGCACGCCTTTTTTGGGTCCGTGTAGTCTACACACATTCGCCAGGTACCATTCAGCTTTTTAACAAGTACAACATTTGCAACCTAGTCTGGGAAGTAACATTGCCGAATGAACCCTGCGTCAAGCAACTTTTTAACTTCGGCGGCTGCCGCCTGACTCCTTTCTTCGCCATGGTTCCGCTTCTTCTGCCTTACCGGCTTCTTCGGATCCACGGCCAGTTTATATACCGCCAGGTCTGGACTGATGCCTGGCATTTCATGCACTTCGAATGCAAAGACATCTTTGTATTCTTTCAAAAGTTGGTGAAAATCTTCACCCAGAACTCTAACAGCAGTCGTCCCAACCTTGACTGTTCGGTCAGGGCGCGAGTCGTCCAGGACCAGGTCTGTATGCTCACCAAGCGGCTGAGGGCGGAATTCGTCTGACCGCTCGACCGCTCCTCTGCCAGTGATTGCTATCTTTTTACTTTTCTTGCGGCCCCGAACTCGGCAGCCTTTCTTTTCTTGCCGCCTGCTTCTTGATCTGCTTTTTCACCACTTGACCCAGCGGCCATGACAGTGGGTTTCATATCCGAGAGATAGCACTCCCGAGCCATCTTCTGATCTCCCCTTAGGGAGCCGACTGTTCCATCATCCTTCTCAAATTTGAGCAACATAAGAGATGGAATAATAACAGCTTTTGAATTATTTAGGGTGGGTCGTCCCAGAATCATGTTGTAGGCCGAGAGTTCCTCAACTACCAGGAACCGGACCACCATGTGTCGACCCTCCCCCTTTTCACCCAGGCGGATGGGTAAATCCACTCGCCCTACAGGGTGGACGACTCCTCCAAACCCTACTAGAGGGTGGGATACCGGATGTATGCAATCAGTCTTGTATTTGAGCTTTGACAGACACTTGCTACTGATAAGGTCGGAGGAACTGCCGGTATCTATGAGGATTCAGCCAACTCTTTGGTTGGTCATTTTGCATTCAATAACAATAGGGTCATCATGCGGCCCCTTTACTCCTCCTAGATCTTCTGTGATGACAATTTCTGGGAATGAATTCTTGGAGGGTCGTTCTTGGTGAACGGAATTGACATCTAGTCGCCTGATATTGTCTTTATTGCCCCTGATAGTGGGGTCGCCTCCTGAGAAGCCGCCTGAAATTGTGTAGACGACTGCATCATCTGTATCGGAACTATCGACCTGTTGATTCTTTTTTGCCGACTGCTTATTTTTTGAGGAAGTATTCCCCTTAGACTTCTTGACATAAGAGTCAAGGTCGCCTTGTCAGCCAGGCGGTCTAGATATCGCATGAGACTTATGCATTCGTTGGTTTCATGACCAACGTCTTCATGATAATGGCATAATTTATCTTGGTTCCAATTGCTCGCAGAACCCTTCATGGGGGCCGGCTTCTCGATTGAGATCCGGCCCATGATTTCTTCGAGGATAGCTTGACTATCCTTGCTGAACGCATACTTTGGAGAGTATGGTTTGAACTCTTTCTTCTTCTTCTGGGCCGGCTGTTTAGAGGAATCGGCCGCCCAGACCTCTTTTCTCTTTTTATCATCTTTATTGGCCAACTGCTTTGGTCGGCCTTCTTTTTTGTCAGACCTCCTTCTGTGCGACTGTTTTCCAGTACTACAGAGATCAGTCGCTATATAGGCTTCTGCTTCAATCAAGGCTTCTTGAAGAGTCGCAACCCTCTTTCGAACCAGGTCAAACTTGAAGGTCGACCCGTCCTTGAGACCTCTGAAAAAGTCAGTATAGGCTACCTCATCCGGTAGCCCTTGAATCTGTATCCTCATCAGGTTGAACCGCCTGATGTAAGAACGGAGCCCCTCCCTCTCGCCCTGCTGAATCGTCCCTAAATCAAGAGTTGTCTTCTTTGCAGGAATGTTCATGGCGAAGTTGGAGGTGAATAAGTGAGCAAGCGTCCTGAAGTTGTTCACACAACCAGTCGGCAGGTTGCCGAACCATTGTTGTGCGATTCCTTTGAGAGTCGCTGGGAAACACTTGCACCAAGTGGGATCATCCAACCCTTGGAGATACATTAGGTTGGTGAACGCCATCAGATGGTCTTCAGGGTTAGTGGTGCCGTCATAGGCGCCTACTAACACATTTTTAACTTTGGCCGGCTGAGCGGCTTCAGTAATTTCCTTGGAGAAAGCAGATGGCTGTTCTCCAAGTCTTAGCAACCGTAGTTGCCAGTCCAAAGGCTGGACATTTTTTGTTGCCTGTCCTCCAAACAGAGGTGGCTGTAGAAAATATTGTTGCGGTACAAATGGTAAGTTTGGTACCGCTTGATCGTTATGAAATCCAGACCGACGGGAGGTCCCGTCGGTCTGGCTCTCATGATTTGACTGGGTATACCTCCTAGAGGTACTGCGCAGACTATCTTGAAAATCTGAAGTGGAGGCTGACTCTGACAGTCGGTCGTTCTTCTTTTGCTCTAGCAGTAGCCAAGCGTCTGAGTATGTTTTCTTTGACCCGTCCGCCTGTATATGACGAACGGGCTTCCTCTTCCCTGATGTGGGAAAACGGTACTTCGTGAAGTCAAGCACAGGCGGCTCCCACTTCCTAGAGTTAGGATGCGGGGTCGCCTCTCGTCCTTGAACAGGTTTCCTTCTTCCCGAATGGGAAGGATTTTTAGCTGACTGCTCCTTAGACAGAGCAGGCGTCTTCTTGTTAATCAGTTCTTGGATCTCCCCCTTGAAGCCCCTCATGAAGGTCATGAGTTCGTTTCTTGTAATGGGAGCAGACCCTTCAGCCGCCTGCTGCTGATCAGGCGGTGTGCCGACTGGATTACTGTCCAGTTTGATGATCTACCCGTTCTTTCCTTTCGGTGTGACGAGTACGCCGGGCCCTTAGGGTCCCGTCTGTGTGCGCTTCAACTTCAACCTCATTTTCGGTATCATAATCTGAGTGAACTTGAGGGTCGTCAGGGGACGCCTCTCTTCTGGAGTCGGTACAGACGTAGATGCCATCTCAAAAGTACTCTCCCCACAGACGGCGCCAAAATGTTTCGGGGTTTTCTGATGTCCTACGGGAGAGTTACAATTCTGAGACTGGAACCGGACGCCTGTACCTGCAAGACAAACGGAGACTCCGAGTGATTGGAGTTCCGCCTCCAACGGTCAAGTTAATACTTGTTTAAGGAGTAAGTAATGCGGAAAAGAGTATATCAGTCTCTCTAGGTAAGAGTATTAAATGTGCGTAATCCCCTTTAATGAGGATTAATGAAGGTATTTATAACCTTGGGATGCGTGCCAATTCCTAGGTTTAGTTTAAACCTAAGGCTGACTGGGCTTTCCCCATGGATTGGGCCTTGTTGGCCGATTATCCCATGTGTCATGGGGTGGACACGTGTTGTGTCGCAATTGGTCCATGGTGGACGAATCACTAACTGACACGTGGCAGGCTCCAATTGGCCCATGTGAAGGACACATGGCGGAACCTGGTTGGACCACTTGTCAGATAGTGATTAGTGGGAAAAATCCCCTAATCACCACCCACCTTTTTACACTATCAAATGTCCCACATATTAGGCTCTAACTATATTAATTTTACTCATGCCCTTTATAATTATTATTTCTATGAATCCCTTTACCTTGGTCAATGGTTTCTTCTTAAAATCCAACCGAAGACATAAGAAGAAAAAAATCATTAAGAAAAACTAAGCATAAAACAATGTTGTGGAAAGAATGTAATACACCAATACTTTCTCTAATACATTTAGGTTCCTATTCCATAAATATCGCATGATAAAGAGTGTAGTTGGAGTAAATTATAGTCTTTATAGATACATATATAGGGTCAGCTAAAAAGGCTGCGAAATGAGATTGATCCAATGTGCACATTTATTAAACTAAATGTGAAAAAAGATTTTCTGCTCGGAAACAAAATTATGTACACACACACACATGAAATATATATATATTACCCACCTTTTTTTTTTTTTTTTTTTAATTTCTACTCACTTCTACTTTATTCCAGTTTTTGGCAAACTCCCTTTACTATTTTACCCCTCTTATCCCACAATATTTACACCACTTAACACCTACCTTTATTTCAAACCCACCTAACGTTTTCTAAATTTTCTTATTCTACGTATTTAAAGTAACTGAGTTTATAGATTTATCTTAACTTGAATGGAAAATACATGCATATTCGGTTAACAATATGTATATAAATAAAACACTTCCAACTGTAATTACTATTTCCTCCGTTTTTTTAAATGCGTCACTTGCTATTTTTGGATGTTTTTTTATTTTTAAATCATCACTTTTATATTTGGTAACTTTATACCATATAATATTATTCTCTCTTCCCTAAAACCCCACTTAAATATCTTATCATTTCTCTCTCTGTCATGGTCTCTATTCTCCTCACATGCAATCTCTTTCATTATTCACATTGTACTTTTACTAAAATAAATTAATCATCCAATTGCCCACATGCATAATATAATATTGAAGCAAATAAACTCTTCTAAAACTCCATGTAAATGCAAGGGATGCATTTTTAAAAAACAGGGAGAATACCTTATACAGCAATAATGTCAGTAAATTAATTGTACAAATAAAAACTTGACATACCGTTGACGGATATTTTGTTATACAGCTTATTTCCAGAACACTAATGACCCATTGTCTCTTGATACTTCCTTCTGCAGCCTGTATCACTGCCGTAATTTCAACAAACAACTTCCACATGCCTGTGAACATCCAGAGTTGAGCAATGGTTTTGCAATTCTTTCAAATCAACTCATTCATGAACACAGAAATAAGAATGACCATTTGCAAAAAATAAAACCAGATGATTTCGTCTAACCTTGTGATGGCGCGTTTAACATGTAAGACTTTAGCTTTGCAAGCTCAGTCAATGGAAGGGATCCAAGTTTCACAAGCTGGGTTATCGCTAGCATCTTCTTAAGCATTGCTCCAAAATAATCATCTCTTGAGACTAGAGTGACAGTGGAAACCTGGAGCATGAAAACTCCCAATTAGTGACTGGAAGTAACTTTAAATGAAGGCTGAATTCCACAAGGAAAACATAAATATATAATAGCATCCAGTAGGAAAATGTACCTGTAATAGATCCAACAACCAAGCTTTTCTAGCCTTGCCCAAGCATACAATTGCTTCATTCCATTCCAGGGTAGGCATCAATTCAAGTTCTGAAAAGGCAGTTGGTTGAGCAGGCAATGATGCAAAAAGAATCTCCATGCACTTCTCCATCCCAGAAAGGTATTCAGAAGTATCAAGAGAATCTTCATCAAAACAATTTGAGAGTCCTTTCCAGCAGGCGAGCAGCAAAAACCTTTTCTGCTTCACATTATAATTTCGGTATGAAGAAAAAAGAGATGACAGGAATTCAGAGATGTCTTCCAGTAACATTTTAGTTCTTGAACTGGAGAATATTCTTGTCAGGTTCAATAGATGAAAGAGAAGACAGGACTGTGTAATGAGATCAAGCGTCCTGAACCTGAACAAACTAGTCAATTCATCAAGGAAAGAAAGTAGCGGATCAATTTTATTCGCATGAGCTAGTGAGAAAAGCACACATTCTTTGCGCAGGCTACTCTTCACAGAAGATGTATCTTGGGGTAAGAACTCAGAAATATGAGCCTCGTATTTCATACAACGCCTGATAACTGCTCCCCAATCAAGCTTGGGCAATCTGGGGGCACTAGAAAGACACCTCAGAACAGCAGCAACTGTGTTGACATGTGGGGTATCCTTAAAAAAATAGAAAATTTTGTCAGCAAAAGAGGAGAGCAAAGTAACATTTCAAAGCATGTTTGTAGTTGCATGTTAAGGTGGATGTGTGGGAACACTCTAAGAGATAGAATCAGAAATGAGGTTATTCGCAAGAAAGTAGGTGTGGCAGGCATTCAGATAAACTAAGGAAAAATCGCCTGCGTTGGGTTGGGCATGTAAGACGGAGACCCGAGGGTGCACCGGTGCGAAGAGTGGAAGAGTGGGACCATGGAGGGGTTAAACAAGGGAGAGGGAGACCGAAAATGACTTGGTTGGAAGGAGTTAGGAAGGATATGAAGTGTATGGATGTGCATGAGGATGAAGCATTGGATAGTAAGGGATGGAGGAGGAAGATTTATGTCGATGACTACACGGAATAATCAAATTTGGTTCATGTTAGCTGACCCCACTTATGGGATTAAGGCTTTGATTGATTGATTGATTGTGTATACTGGTCCAACCGTACAAACAATGAACAACAATTGGAAACTGGATCAAAATTGCTAAATTTGTGCAAAATTATCCCAAACAAATAATGAGCAAATGAGAATCAATGATCATAATTTTCAGTGGTATAGCATAAAATAATCTCAACAACTCTACTTAAAATAATAACAAAGTCTTTTTCAAAGAATATCAAGTTTTTAATTTAACAATTTTATCGCTTGATGGGAAGTATGTTCAACTTTAGAGGTACATATCATGGATAAAAATCTAAGATAAAGAAAGACATGCTTCATTTATATATGTTGCTAAGTTCATTTTTTTTTTTTTTGAAAACACATAAGAAATAAGTCTAAATAGTTTGGATTACTTTTAGCAAAACCTCTTAACTCTTAAGCGTGGGTGCATAGGCATCAAATGTTCCTGTTGGGATTATTCCAGTTCATACTACAGCTCAAATTATTGAAATCTAAAATCCTATACAATTTAGATATGTGCTAGACACCCACAACCAAGAACACAAACTAAAATGATATGATCAAGACCTTCCAAACTAGAAAAATATGTAAAAAGCAATATCAAGCGACCTACTTTGGAATAGTCTAATTGCATTAGCCATGTAGAGAGCTGCATAACAGTTGCATCCTTGGAAAAGCTTTGATTATTAGGCAACGAGCTTATATTTTCATCCTTGTCTTCTTCTGAGCAGAGATGCTGATGAAGAAATGACATTGCCCATGATGCATATGCCTGTAGTTGGCTGTCAGATGAATCTTGCGCAACAAGAAATATATCTTGTATTAATGCTAATAGTTCTTCTGCAAAGCAAGAACTTGACAGTAGAGGGGCATTGATGCGGGAGGATTCCTGAGATATAAATTGAGAAATAACATATCAGGTAAAGAAAATCAAAAGATGAGAATGAAAATCTCAGGTGTTTATTTTATCAATCATACCCTTCCCTCAGAGAAAGTGACGGGAACAATTTCAGGAGAACGATGATCAGTTTTACTCCCTGTATCAGCACCCATTGCATTTACCACTCCAAGGAATGCACCAAGATGAACAAGGTGAGGATAGGTATCAGAGTATATTTTTTTAAATTCACCAAGCAAGTTTTTAACTTGATGAACATCCAACAAAACTAATCCTTCATCCAAAATAAATGAAATTAGAGACCCTGCACCAACACATGCTGCCATCAGCTGATTGTGATGTAAGATGTTACATGTTTTCTCCATTTGAATCTTTGAAATGAGGTTTTCATAGCAAAAAAGCAAGTCGCTTAATTCATTATCGTGCATCTTTTCCAGTCTCCGACAAACTGAAGCAACAATTGGAAGTACTAGACATGCTCCAGTAGTTAACAGCATATCAGAACTTTGACATCCAGTAGTAGATTCTGTAAGTATGAAGTCCGCTTGGGCAATCCAGGATGTGAGCAAAATTTTTATACTGCACATAGCATCGTATGACCCAGCTCTGGAAAGTGCACTAATAGACATACCCAAACCCATGACAAGTCCAGTAACACCCCATAGATCATCCCCCACATCCTCGTCTCTTTTAACCATCAGTGGAGATGTTGCCTTAGTGTCATCATCCTCTAAACCAGGGGCCTTATATTTAGAAAGGCTCACCAGAAGATCAGAAGAAATTTGAGTAAGTTTCCATACTCTCAAAGATAGTGTCCTGACAATCTTTCCCAAAAGAGCTTTCTCCTGCAGTACAAAGCTAGCCTGATCCAATGCATTATCAGCAGTAACATCCCTGGTAAGAAGGTCTTGACATGAATATCCCAAGCCAATACCACAAGCCCCTTTAACAAGGATATTTCTGCTTTCACATACCACCTAACAAAGGAAACATGAATGAGTCATTGCTAATGAAAGATCAATATCCAAGTTGATTAATTACATCCAATCGAACCATTTGAAGATCAATATCTTATATGTAGTGGCACCACGTAAATAATTCATCGCAATTGATAACTCCATATAGCATAGCTTTAATACCATAGCTGACATGAGTCATAAAGAAGTGAAGATGAAAAAATGTAACGAGGGTACAGGTAAACAAAGATTACATTTCGGATAGATTTTATTAAATAGTGTTGTTAAGATGTAAGCTCAGGCTCACACATTGAAGCACTTCTAAAAACATGCAAACACTAATTAGGCTCTTTTTCATACAAACACAAAGATAAGTGTCAGCTAAAAAGTTAATTTTAGTATCAATAAGTTCAACAAAAATAAACTCAATTAAGAAATAAATTCACACTTCACACTGAACTCCTTTCTATAACTAATGTTCTATTTTACATGTTACAGACCCCCCAAATAATTTTATATCCTTTAGTGTTCATATCCCTCCCCCTGTCATATAGATCCTTGTTCTCGCACCATTGCATCACCTTTTTTGTACTACAAAGTCCATTGAGATTCACTTTGATAACTTAATTAATATTTAGTATTATTTCTTAATCTCAACAGCATTTACAATGGAAATCAGCAAGTGACAAATAGATTAATGATAACAGAGGGAGAAATTAAGTTAGATGATAATAGAACAGAAACTTATGTAAATTTGAACAATTTTGTAATATGAACAGTAATTAATACCATAAACCCAAAGAAAGAAAGAAAGAAAGAAAAAAAAAAGAGAATATATTACTACTATAATCATTGTCAATATCAAACCCTGGGCATATCCATCAAACCCCAGCCCCTAGCCCACCTTACCACAAGCTCAACTACACTTCCTAATCGGCCAGAAAAACTATCGGCTTGAAATACACGTTAGAATCCCCTACATCAACCAGATCTGAAAGCATAACCATCGCTGCCTTGAAATCCTTCGTGCCCCCAAGAACAGTGTCAATAATGAGACATTTCCAGAGATGGAGAAGCAGCTGATTCCAAATTTTACCCAATTTCAGAAAAGCCAAACATCATAACATTGCTGAGGAGAGGGGGGAAGGAACGGGGGCGCCAAGGCAGTGGATGGGAGAGAGGAAGAAGGGGTGGTGGCCAGATTAGTGAAGGAAAGATAGAGTAAGGAAATGAGGGGCTAGTGCAATGGGTGGGGATAAGTGGCCACCGGAGAGCAAAAAACGAAAGACAAAAATGCGAGGGTATTAGGAGTTGGGCAAAGCAAGGCAATGCAATGGAATTTCCAGGCTACTATCATCCATACTAACTGTTTTAGGAGTTGAGCAAAGGAAGGCAGGGTCAGAAAAGAGGGTGAGAGGGTAGTGGCTATCAAGGGAAGGGGAAGCTCAAAATTACCTAATTCATTTTATTCGTATTATATTTTTTTGAGGTTGTACAAAATAAATGAAGTTTCATTCTTTGAGAAGCAATGCATCACAATCCAGGTAAGTCACATCCCACCTACACAATGAGATGAAAGTTCTGGCTGAAAGTCTATTAATTACTCCACTTTTTTTCCTTTTTCTTTTTTTTTTTTTTTTTTTTTTTTTGCAGCATGTCCCCTTAACACGCACATTAAGAGATTAGAGAAGGTAAATGAACAAATTAATTAAAACTACTTATACACCAGTAAGAGGAGTTTTAATTGATAAATCCGTTTACCTAATCTAGCATCTTTCCTAATATCTTTCTTAAAGTATCTGCTAATGAGACAAGTTACACTGTACAAATACGGAGGAAACACAAGGCATGATTCTAAGAATATTAATTAGTTAACCATACAATTTTATTATATGCATAGCATGATCAGATCAAGGAATGAAATGCACTAAGCCTCAGATATGTCAACACAAAAGCAAATTTCTTAAAAAAATGGGGTTGAAATGAGGAAGTGGAAAAAAAAGTAACATGAATAATATACCTCAATAAGCCCATTAACACATTGGAATTTTTGTTGACGATCAGTTGAATGCAGACAAGTTGAAATTACACCAATAGAAATTGCAGCTGACCACTGACGATGCTCATGTTCATACTGGAAAAGCCAGTCCAAAAGGAACTTTGAAGCCAGGACTTTAACATGATGAACAGACGCAGGCAAAATCTAAAAATTTCCCAAAAGTTAAGATAGAACACCTCAAGGTAATCAACATACTATCCTAATGATTATCATGTTCTTAATAATGAGAAGCAGCATGATTCCAATATAACAGAAAATAAATCATGTTCTAGTAATCTAGAACGAGTAATATAAAAATTGCATGTTTAATTGAAGACATCAGAAAGATTGGAAGGTTTATATACAGTGCGATGCACGGTTATTTATACAATATTTTGTACAATTCTTGTCATCTCTATAAAACACAAAACTTTAATTTTTCAATAAATTTATATTAGAAAAAATAATTTTTATTATGTAAGTAATTAAAGAATTATATATTCCCATTCGTTGGATATTAGATAAAATTCTTAATATCAAAAGATAATTTTTGTTTTTAAAATAAATTTTAATATTAAATCACTATGTTTCAATTGAATTTAAATTCTCAAATCTAATTCGTTACATTTGCTTATGGTTTAATTTTCTAAACAACAACAAAGTGGTGATGGGTGTGCAAGGAATCAGCCCAAGCATGATATCCGTTTTACTTATGCAAGAAGGCCCAAAAAATAATCAGAGAAAGAGTTACTTGTTGAGCTGGAAGTTTATTAGAAATCAGTTTTGGGGAGAGGGTAAAATAGTAATCCATGAATAAGTTGGTTACTAGTTTGTTATTTTTATTACTTGCATTAGCTGTTGCCTGAGTTTGTTATGCTTATTTTTGTGTTTAAATAGGGGAAGGTATCCAGAAAGTTGTTGATGAGATTGTAGTGGAGAGAACCTTCCTCTCGAATAAAGGCATTGTATAGCTGAATATTCTATTTAGTAATACAAATATCCCCTTGGCTGCCATTTTCTATCTCTGTTTTACTTGTTTACTTACTGTTTTCATACTAATATCTAGCAAATTGGTATCAGAGCAGTAACGATTCAGGCCGGAGACGACGATGGCTCGCCTTAATCACGGTCAGCGCTTGGAATTGTTGGAGCAGGAGATCACTGGGCTACCGTCGCGAGTTGCGCAAGAGATCACTACTGCGGTAGCGGCACTCAAGACTGATCTCAACCCTCAGCTAGCTGCTGGCAGGAGAAGATCCGTACGGAGTTTCGCTCGTCCTTGGTGAATGGTCCTCAACACCAGTGGGATAATCCGTTTTCCTCACAACCTCACTTGGATTATGGTGATGGTGGTTTTCAAGGAGGGCAGTCAGAACTGGAAATTGAGAAAACTAAATTTGCCACTCTCTTAGTTTTAAAAGGCACGAGGCGTACTGAGGCGCAAAAGATTCCTAGAGCCTAGGCGCGAGGCGCAAGGCGGAGGCGCGCGCCTCTTATATTTGAGGCGCACTTTGTTTATATTTTTATTTTAATTATTGTACAGCTTTCTTGGTATTGAAAATATAGAAAAATAACCTCAAATATATTTAAGTATAATAATTAATTAAAAATAAAAAGGTTGTAAAAAAAATTAGAAAAGAGGGGGAAGTAGTCACGTGATTACTAAATCAGAAGGGGAAATGGGCTTTCAAGTCTTCTACTAAAGAAAAAAAAGGAAAAGAAAAGGAAAAAAAAAAAAAAACCCTTTATCCTCTGCCCTAGATATGCATGGCAGAGGAGAGAGAGAGCATCAAGTGTAAGAACTTTAAGAAGAGAATATTGAGAAAGAGAGAAGAAGAGCATAGATCGAACAAAGAGAATGAAAGAAGAAGAAGAAGAGAAGAAGAAATAACAAAGCGAAGAAAACTCTCCTGGATTACTTGACTGGCGCCGGCCTCCGGTAAGTCTAGTGTCGGAAACCGTCAAGGATTGCTCTCCGGCGATCTCTATTGTAGCAGCACCCATCAATTTCTCCAATTGTTCAGTATTTCATAAATTAGGGTTTTTCGATTGGGGGTTAAATTAAAGCAATTTCATTCAATTAAATAAGGGGCTTTTGCTTAATTAAAAAAAAATGAAAAAAGAAAACGCGTGAACGAAGCGAACAACCCAACGAACCTCAAACGTCACAACTCACAACCCTAACTCCCTCTCTCACGTCAACCAGCCACCGCCGACACCGTACCGTCCGCACGTATGCACCAGGCCACCGCTTCACTCCTTCAAGCCTTCAAGGCGACAAGGCCTTTGTTTTGCTGTAGATCTATGACTGTAGTCTCCTGTCTGCAAGCCTGCCACCACCGCCCTCGGACCTACGGCGACTGACTGACCGGAGCGACAACTGACTGAAGCACTGAAGCAGAGCAAGGTATTATTGTATTAAAATTTAAATTATGAACTATTTAATATGTTATTTAGTTTTAATTTTAATTAGGTATAATTTCAGTCATTTGATTGATTAAATTGAACTGAATTGTTCATTTGTTGTTCATTATTGTGTTGATTACTTAATTAATTATAATTTCAGTCATTTATAATTTCATAGTCTTGACAGGTTGTTTATTGTGGTGTTGAAATGTTGAATTAAATTGAACTTTATTTGGTAATATTGGTACTTTGTAGTCTTGATTAGTTGTTATTGACCTTAATGTTTGATACTTTAATAGTTTGATTTTTTCGGATTTGATTGATATTTGATTGTATTATTTGTATTCAAATGAACTAAAATTCTGTATATTTGAATTGCTGATTTTTTTTGTTATTTCTTAAATGATTTTCAGAATGCACCGGAAACGTACTCCAAATAAAATGCAAAATATCGCTAGTTTCTTCACTAAATGTAATCCTCCTAGTCAACAAAATTCGTCTCCAAATGAACAAATTTCCACTCCACATCATGCTAGTGAACAACATACCTCTCCCACACACAATTCACCTCAAATTTCCTGTCAAAGCTCACCTCAAAACTCCACTCATAGCTCACCTCAAAACTACACTCATAACTCCCCTCAAAATGAAGTGGAACAATCTTGCCCTCTTAATACATCGGGAGATGGTGTTAGATTAAGTGAAAATGATCTTGCCAATCTTCCTCACAACCCGGGATTGAGGAGAAAGATGAGTGATTTCCATCCCGATGATAGAGACTTAGTGAGGAGAACTTACATTCAAAAAGGGCCATGCCAACGTAAAAAACATGTATTTCCTCAAAGACTCGTTGCCCCTAAAAAACGTCAATTTTGTGTGAAGTGGTTTGAAACTTGGGGTTCTTGGCTTGAATATAGTGTGGAAAAGGATGTTGCATATTGTTTCATTTGTTACTTATTCAAGGATGAAAATGCATTTGGAGGTGATGCATTTGTCACTGATGGTTTTTTATCTTGGAATAGATTAGACATACTAAAAAATCATGTTGGTAAGCACATGAGTGCTCACAACAATGCCGTGTTAGCTATGGATGTGTTCAAGAAACAAAAGTCAAGCATCACCACTGCAGTATAAAAACAAAGCAAGGAGTCTATGAGTAACTTTAGGAAGCGATTGGAAGCATCAATTATTTCTGTACAATGGCTTTTAGTTGGAGCATTGCCTTTTCGAGCTCACTATGAAAAAGAAACTTCTTCAAATGGAGGTAATTTTCTTAGACTGTTGACTCTTGTTTCAGAACTACATCCTGATTATTTAAAAGTTTGTTTTAAAAATGCTCCTGGTAATTGTCAACTTACTTCTCTGGTTGTTCAAAAAGACATCATAAATGCATGTGCAAAAGAGACTACTAAAGCAATACTTGAAGATCTTAATGGTGGTTTCTTTGCTATTCTTGCTGATGAGTGAGCTGATATTTCTGAAAAGGAACAAATGGCTATTTGTTTGAGATATGTAAATAAAAAAGGAGAAGTGTGTGAGCGTTTACTTGGTATTGTGCATGTTGGGGATACAACTTCTTTAACTCTTAAGGCTGCTATTGAGTCATTATTAATTCTGCATTCTTTGTCTTTCTCTCAAGTAAGGGGTCAGGGTTACGACAGGGCAAGTAATATGCAAGGTTCAATTAATGGCCTTAGAACCTTAATAGAGAAAGAATGTAAACAAGCATACTTTGTTCATTGCTTTGCCCACCAACTTCAGTTGACCCAAATTGCACTTGCTATAAAGAATCCTGATTGTGCTTGGCTCTTTAGTGACATGCTTGCACCTCTCTTGAATTTTGTGGGTTGCTCACCAAAGAGGAAAGAATTTCTTCATGAAAAACAAGCTCAAGCAGTTGTTGATGCATTATCCCTAGGTGAACTTGAAACGGGTTTGGGTTTAAATCAACAACGGGGGTTAGGAAGACCTTGTGACACTCATTGGGGATCCCACTTTAAAACAATTGTAAATGTGCTTGATATTTTTCCTTCGATCCTTGGCTCACTTGATGAGATTGCTAAAGTTGTCGAAGCAAAATCTATGGCAGATGATTATAACAAAAAACACAAAGTATTATCAAAGTATTATTGGTTGGTTATTGACTTTTGATTTTGTGTTTGTGGCTCACTTAATGGTTGCTATATTTGCAATTACAAATGAGTTGAATGTTAGCCTTACAAAAATATGATCAAGATATTGTTAATGTAATGGCCATGGTTCACGTAACCAAGACTAATTTGCAAGAGTTGAGAGATGAGGGATGGGATTCCCTTATGGAGAAGATCTTGTCTTTCTCAACCAAATATGAGATTGAGGTTCCAGATATGAATGCGACATGTTGTTCCCGGGAGAAGGATGTTCAAAGGTAAGCGTCCGGGAGTGTCAAATCTTCATCATTTTCGAGTTGAGGTGTTTATAAGTGTCATTGATCTTCAGTTACAAGAGTTTGAAAATCGATTTCCCGAGATAAGTAAAGAACTTCTTGTGTGTATGTATTGTTTTAGTCTAGCTAATCGGTTCTCTTCTTTTGACAAAGTTAAATTGACCAAGCTAGTAACATTCTATCCAAATGAATTTTCAAGCTCGAAATTGATTTACTTTGAACACACACTTCAAAATTTCATTGTCGCCGTTAGAGAAGATGAAAGGTTTTGGAATTTGAAGAGTCTTAGTGAGTTGTCAAAGAAACTCGTTGAGACGGGATTATCCGAAACTCATAGTAGAGTATACTTGCTTTTGAAGTTGGTGTTGGTTCTCCCCGTTGCAACAGCAAGTGTTGAAAGAGTATTTTCTAGTATGACGATCGTGAAAGATAAATTGCGTAATAGCATGGGAGATCAAATGTTGAATGATTGATTACTTTTCTAGAAAGTGATTTGTTTTCCAATGTTAAAATAGATCAATTATAGATCGATATCAAAATATGAAAACTCGTCGTGAACAATTGTAATAGTTTATTGTACTATGTGCTTGTAATATATTATTTGTAGTACTTTCGGTTTGTAAGATGAATTTTTTAAGTACTATTTGGTTGTAGTATGGATTTTTATGTCTTATTTGTTTGATTGAAATCAAGTTGGTTGTCATATATATTTTTTTGTTAATATTTTTGGATTCGAAATTTTTTTTGTACTTTTACAGGTGATCAATAATTCAAGCTCGGAAATCCTAGATCCGCCATTGATTAGCAGTTGCCTGAGTTTGTTATGCTTATTTTTGTGTTTAAATAGGGAAAGGGGTTAAGGGGAAGGAATCCTGAAAATTGTTGATGAGATTGTAGTGGAGAGAACCTTCCTCTCGAATGAAGGCATTGTATTGCTCTGTTTAGTAATACAAATATCCCCTTGGCTGCCATTTTCTATCTCTGTTTTGCTTGTTTACTTACTGTTTTCATACTAATATCTAGCAGGGTGATGGTATTTTTCGGCATGGCATTTCCTAATATTGGGAAAATGCAAGTGGTGGTGGGAAGAGAGAGAAACAACAACCGATGGTTGGATGACAGAGAAAAGTAGGTTAATATGTGTGTTTGAAGAGAGATAAGGAAAGGAAATGTGTGGGTTGGAGAGAAAAGATATGTGAACTTTTATTAGAAAACAGATACATAGTTATTATGGGTCACCCATTTTAGGGATGTACTTAGAAAAATGTGGGATGGAGGAAATAGTTTTAAGGTTATTGTTTAAGAAGAGCTTTCAACAAATTCATCTCCCTATCATGGTATGCATCTGAATTAAAATGAATTCATCTATCCAAACCACATTCCCACACAAATGCCTAGTAAACTTAGAAGAGAGCATTTGTATGGGAAAGTGGTTTGGATAGACGAAGTCATTTTAGTTCAAAAGAACACCATACAAACCATACAAACCATACAAAGGCCTACATGACAATCAAAAGACCCAACATATTAAGATTAAGAAAATACTTATATAGTTATTAGAATTAAGGACTTAAGCTTTCAGAAAAGGCCTAGGCCTACACCTGCATGTTGCAAAACTAGGAGAATTCGCTTGGGAACCCTGATATTTAGATAGATAAACTAACAAAAATTCATGACACTTATCTTCTATGAAAAACTGAAAACAGATAGGTGATGGTCTGAGACTTTGAGGTGATAATTAGCCCTTTGTGTATGTTCATAAGTTTGCAAAAAGACCACCCTTTCACAAAAGAAGATCAACAGATCTGCCTAAACTCAATTTCATTAGAGTGGGATCAACTTACCATACAAAATGCACCTACGGCAAGGGCAATGTTCTCAGCCACCCTAGGCATTGAATCTTCAGCGACCTTTATCATGCACTGAAAATTTAGGGAAGACCGTCCACCATGTAAGCAATTTAGAAAACTGTAATCTATTTCTCTTACTCTCTTTTCCTTTCTCTCTCTTTGTTTTTTTGTTCTTTGGGTGGGTTGGGGGAGATGTTTGATGAAGGCATTTTAAAAAAAAAAACATAAATTCAAAACAAAAGCCACACCTTTAGAATATTATTGGCAGCCTTTGATATTTTATCCAATGGACTGGTTGATGCTTTAACAACAAGTACTGATGTATATTTGTGCAGCCAATTTTGCATAAAGGATTTCCATGATTGCAATGAAAGTAGAGCAATAAAAATATTTCTTGACAGAGTAAGAGACGCAGCAACTTCCTTTAGCATGTTGTGATATTTAGCAAATACATCATCTGCAATCTGGATAGATAAAAAGATTTAGACATACTCCATAAGAACATAAAAATATTCCAACAGACATTATTACAACACAATATATAAGCTTAATGAGCTTACTTCTGATTTCTCATAGTTAGCATCTTTTTGACTGGACTGAAGTTGAAAGAGAGCCGTACCAGGTATCATTCTTGCAGCATAACTTTTTTCTGGGACAGCAATGTATGACACAGAAAGTTCAAATCAAGGAAAGGAAAGATATGGAATTGAGATCCAGGTGAATTAATTTTTCTATATAACTGTAGCAAATTGCAGAAGATGTTTAAAATAAGATCTAATTTTATGTTTGATTGATATTGTTGAGCAATGTGCTCATCCGAGTCTTCTGTGATAAATAGTACAATAGTCAGAATAACACTATACTTTGCTGACAACAGGTGGATAAAACAGAGGATCAAAGGTCAGCATGTCTTTAAAAAGAAATCCCTACAATATATGGAGCTCACAAAGCTTTCCATTTTCATGTTAGCATGCTGCATAAATTTCACAAAAACCACAAATTCCTTGATTCATTAAGCAGGCAATAATCTTTTTTTCTAAACTAATATTTTAATTATAATATCATATATCTCCACTTCAAATTCAGCAGAAACTTCATCATTTTTTCCCTTCAGCTCTTTCCCCTTTAACTGGATTTATAACTATGCACCTTTAATATCCAACATGTTTAGAACTACAACTTTAACCCTATGAGTTTTTCTAGTCTTGCATTAGTCATGCTCAGGATTAATTTGCAGTATGTTTAATCAATAAATGTCATCTGTCTACCCAGGTCATCTCTCACAGGGTATATACATCATGGTGGAGTACTATATGGAACAAATTTAGAATTACCACTAGCGAATATTATAGAGTTATTCCAGAACATATTTCAACATAAGTTGAGTGTCTATCATTACAAGTAACAACTTTTTCATGCAAAATCAAGTTTGGAAATACATGAGAAAATTTCTGCAGTATGGCAGGGAATAAAGAACAGGGGGAACAAGTACAGATTCCAAAAACACTAGTTAGTTTGATTAGATATAGGATGTAATAAAACGTTATCCTTGATTCATTTCAAACAAATTACAGTTTCTTTTCTTTCTGTTTTTTTTTTTTTTTTTTTTTGGGTCAAGTACATTGACACATTTCGTTTAATCTCATATTTTAAATGAACAGACTCACTTCCTAACATCCATGCGGGTTACCTGAAGAGCAAATGACACGAGGAAATACTTCTAAAAGCTTCTCAATTTTGCTTCTTGGAGCCCTACTTTTCTTAACAAACCTTTGCCTAGTACTGTTGCAAATCAAAAGAGATTATTATTATTAGTATAATAGTAATAGTGTAAACCATTATAATATAATTTAAATTTATTCACAAACCTATGCTCATATGCTATAATCTTGGTCTCAAGTTCTTTAATCACTTGGAGTACATGAATATCAGTCTCATGAATCAACAGCTCCTTTGCCTTATCTCTAAAATCCGGGATGCTCCTATCAAAATGCAGTACCTGCTTAAACAATGAATCAGCAAGAAATCAAGTATCGAAAGATTATACCTCAAAAAATAAGTAACAGATAGCTCATGATTAAAAGTAAAAAAGGACACCCATAAAAGAAGATACACCAACCTCAAAACAACTTAAAGCCTTGATAGCAGTTACCCTAGCCTTTATCCAAAGGGGATTTACATTATAGCAATTAGAGCTTCCAATGTCCCATAGAATTTGCAAGATAGTAACTGAGGCTTCCGCATAAGCTTCAGCATCCATAGCACCCCATCTCAAGAATGAACATAAGCTGCACAAAAGAGTAAGTAGTAAAACGATAGTATGTCATGAGTCAGTGATGCGGAAGCAATGAGTTTAGCTGTTGTAGAGGAAGAGGAAATGCCGTGCGTTATGACACGTGGGCATGTAGGCTTTTGGGTGATCAACTCTCAGGTTTGACCGTCCTCAAACTTGAATAGTTACTTGGTCAAAATGGACTACTCAGCTTCAAACAGCTATATCTTTTTCGTTACAAAGAATTTTTAGGTGATTCAAAATGAAGATAAAAGTAGAGTCCAATAGCTTTCCAACGATAGGTCATAAGCTGATTACAGCGAGAAACGAAAAAGTTATGTGCATATGAAGTTAAGCTGGCCAAAAGTTCGCCCGAACCTCTATATGGTTCGCCCGAACTTCTTTGAAGGTTTTGCCCGAACCTATACAAGGTTAGCCTGTGTCCGCGAGTTTGAGAAGTTAAGCTTCATGATGATTTGCCCAAACCTACCCATGGTTTGCCCGAATTTTTAAGTGATTACAGGTTACTTTAGCCTTTGAGTTTTGCTTGTTTGGACATTTATTTTATTTAAAACTTATTTTAGTAGTTTTTATTTCACTTCATATACAAGGAGAAAAAAAATCCTTGTAATGGACATTCTTGCCTCTTTTAAACTTTGAATGCGAATTCTCTCTCTCCTTAATCTTGGTGATTATTTGCAAATCTATGTGATTTCTCCCCTAACCTTTGCTCTACTTTGTGTTAGGCTTTGGATTAAACCCTTATTACAATAAACTTTGTAATTGATGTGATAAGAATTAATCTTTGTTATTTGTTCTCTCTCAAATTGCATCTTAAACATTGAAGCTTAGATTGAAAGTTGGTTTTTCTTGGTTATTTCATATCAGTCAGTTCTCTTAGTTCATATCCCTTAAATTAAAGTCAAGTAAGATTTTTCAGAATAAAAGTTACAAAATTAAAGAACTGCTAAATGGACCACAAGATACAGAAACCATTATTCACAGTAATACTCATGCCTTACAATAAATTTACAGCTTATCACTTTGTTTCCATCTCTTCTAACTTTGCGACATAACCCTCTTGCCATATGACAAGCTGTTTCAAATAGCTTATTGTTAACACTTTTGCATTATGACAAGTTGTTTCAAATAACTGGTTAAATCAACTTTGATAAGGTTGAAAAATAACTTAAATAAGTGATTATATGATGTTCTAGTCTATGTTACTCAGATTCAAAGACCAAAATTCAGAATCAGCAATTATATTTAAAGTTTCCAGCTTTTTAGTCCAAACAGCAAATGATTCGTCAAGTGTCCAACTGTCCATACTGTTGGAAGTATGACCTTCGAACAATGTGCATTACTCTAAAGGATAGTTTATAGGATCAGATACAAATAAGGATTTGTTTGTTAAATCAGGTAATTGATACGTTTAGGAGGAGGGTTACGGTAGGCTAGTGACAGCCAATGCAAAACTTTGTCACATGCTTGACAAGAGCCACAATGATTGAGAAGTCCTCATGTTGGTTCATGTAGTCGACCCCACTTATGCGATTAAGGCGTTCAAGCAGAAGAAGAAGATACGTTTAGCTGGAAACCGTTATCGATTAGCACACCTGAATAATCTGGCTCGCAGCTTAATGTAAACTAATCCTATAGGACCGCACACAAGCATGGATCAAACCAATCATACACTAATGGGCCAAGCTTGTAGCAAGGGCCACATTAGGGCATTACAAGCCAGCGAAGCATGTAATCGGGCTTGCAGCTTAATGTAAACTAATCCTAAAGGGTGGCACTCAAGTAAGAATCAAACTAACCATAAACTAATGGTCCAAGCTCTTAGCAAGGACCACATTAAAACATTACCGCAAGCCAGTCAAAGAGGCTATGAGAGGCATAAGTGGCCAACTAAAGGGAGAAAAAAAGGAAACAAAAACTAGTTTCAGGTTTTCCGTATTAAGTGGAGATAGTTTAGGAAAGAATCTAGTGAGATTAATTCTATCCTATACTATAAAACCACATAACATATGTTCATCTTCATCTACACATGTGAGAGAAGAGAGAGGAAGATTCTTCCTCAATTAATTTAAGCTATCAATCTCATCGTGGTTCAATCATGTGTCTGCTTACCATTAGAGGAGCTTCGTGTGTGATTCTAGAAGTCTGTAACCTGATTGACTTGGTTTAAGGAAGTGACATTATAAGAGGTACATTGATATTCATATTAGGTTCATAATCAATGTGCATAAATTCGTATTTGATGTGTTTTTGCAAATATATTCTACATTAAAACCCAACACATACCCATGTTTGTGGATCTGACAAGGGCAATAGAGGTGAGATGAAAATCCTAAGTAACATAGGCCCTAGCCATAGTATGTTTGTAACAAATATATAATCCATTATTGTAAAATTTGAAATTTGTAAAGGCTCTAAACAACCAAATAAATACAAAATGAGTTAGCCCTTTATATAACCTTGTTCTGCTTTCTCAATCATTTACTTATTTCTATTTATCTTTATAATGCATGAAACAGTATGAAAACATCAGGTAGTGTACACTGCTTTAGTTAAATTGTAGCGTGAGATAAACGCAGCTACCAAAACCTAAGAAAAGTTACACAATGCATTTAGTAATAAAAAAAGGTCGTACAAAGCAAGATTACCTATAAGCAAGTACGGGATCCGTGGAATACTCTAGTCCATATTTTGCGATAACATTCCATGCCGTATAGAAATCTAGCAAAAGATAAAATCAATGAGTTCACAATTTAAAGCCTACATGTATTCCCATATAACTAATTTTCATATATTTCCTACCACCTTTGCAAATCGAATAAATCCGTAACAAAAGTCATGAGATGATATTAATACTAATACAAACATCATAAAACTGCTACAGAAACCTTGCAAAAGTCACAATATCTTAACAAACCATAAAGTGTTCACATTTCAAAAACAGAAGAATAAACTCTTTAGAAATTAATTATAGAAAAAAAAATGAACCAAGAGATAAAGGGTGCATTCTCACACCTTACAAAATACGTCTTGGGCTAAGGACGAATAAGTTTATCTATCAAGTCTATTTTCTTGCAATTGGGTCTAATCAAGTCTAATTAGTTCCAATAAATTTAAATTAGGTCTAATAAGTTTGGGAGATTTCAGAAGAACATAATGCACCTAAAGAACTGAGTAATTTTTTTTTTTTTATTAATGATATATATGTGGGATGTTGTGGCCATGGATACAGATCATGAGGAAGACCTTGCAATTTTTAAAACACGAAAAAATCAATCTTCATATTACATAACCAAATCAACAAAAAGCCAAATAAAAGCAAATTAGAGAAAAATATAGGATGGAAAAGGTTATTAAGGTTTGCTCCATAGGAATAATTAAATGGTAACAGACTTAAGGTGTGTTCACCTCAACTGATTTTGAAATAATATAAGTTCGACAAGAATGTTGGCCATTTGACCAAATCGAAAACTATAAAATAAATTTTTGAAATTACAAAAAAATAAAAAAATTGGTGGTTTGCAACAAATTGCTAAAACTATAAACTCCAGCAGCATGAGTAATGAAAAATTGGCAATAATATTAGAGTAAATAAATACAAATTCCGACAAATTGGCAAAATAATCTATATGCACTACATTACCCTAATCTTCTACTTTTTTTCTTTCCTATTTCTGCCTTTTCCATACTAAATTGGTAGAAAGATAAGTGATTGTAGTTTGGTAAACAAAATTATCTTGCATCATTTCAATTTCACAAAGCCTAATATTTACCTCCCCCTCATTCTAGATTTTTGCCACTCCAAACTAACAATTTAGAAAGAAAGAACAATATTTACAATACGCATTGATATTTTTCAATCGTGAAAAATATTGATGATGAGCCAATTATACAGTGTTTTTTTACTTTGTGATAATTGCTCGGACACTACATATGATGTACTAGAATCTCATTCAAATGAAATATCTCCTTTGTTTCATTAATATTACAACATGTAAGCATAGGATTTTATGAAAACAATGGGATGAGGAGATAGATAAAAAGAACTTAAAAGAGGGAGCCCAAATGATAGGATGAGTGAGAGGAAGAGGGAGAAGGAACATTATCCTAACTATAAAAGTTCCATAAAAAGGAAAACACTGCAACATTAGTATTTGGGACCCACTTATGTAACGAAGAAAATATAAGTTTGCTTGCAAATTTATTTGGGACCCACTTGAACAAACATTAGTATTTGGAAAAATTTACAGCAATAATTCCACCTTTTGCCAATCTTCTCAAATTGGTCCCAACTTTTAAAAAATCTGGGAATAATCCCAACTTTTGTGAACATCTTAAAATAGTCCTTAACTTGTTTGTAACCCGTAAAATAGGTAAACTTTCATTGTTTCAAATGTGTTCAACTTTAATCGGGTTTAGTTTTTTAAATTTAATTTAATAAATTATCCCCCTTTCATCCCCTTCCATTGTTCTAAAGCCCCTCCTCTCTCTCTTGCTCCTCCTCCCCTCTCCCCTCACAGCCACCCCTCTCTCTCCTCATCCTTCCCCTTCACGGCAAACAAAGACTATCAGCAATGCAAACACCAAGCCTTGCTTCCCATAGCTTTCACACAACAACCATGGCCAATAACAATGAGTGCATTCCCTATAACTGCACACTTGGTACACCGTATGGGAGGCCCACCATACAACATAATACTCTTCATTCTTCCATTTTTGATCATTGCGTTATTGTTTAACGATTATGATATTTGATCATTTCTTTAATTTATATATTCAATTGGGTTACATTGTATTGGGATTTATTTGGTAAAGTGATTCACTCTATAATTAGCCCATATGTGTGCTGATGTATAATTGAGCTTACTAATAGCTTATTTAGTTATTTGTGTATATTTTTCAATGACAGAAATACAAGGCAAGATCGCAGGAAACACATATTTCCCAGAAGTTATCACATTGCCTTTTGACTTTGATTTTCAACCGGTTAATTATAAGCTTGCATTGCCAAATTATAAAAAAAATTGGGTTTTTCTTAGAAACATTTGAAGATAAAAACAAAAGGATGTTCAAGTTCTCAACTAGGGCTGTTTTTGGGTGGTTGTTGATTGAGTTCTTCTCTTGTTGTTTGAAGAACCCAATTGACAAATTAATCCTGAAATTAAGTACATTATGTTATTTAACCAACTTGAAGGGTGTACATATTGGTTTAAAGGGAATTGGAGGTTTTAATTTGGTAATTAAGTTCCAATATATAATTTTTTTTTTTTTTTGAAGAACAGTGCCAATATATAAATTAAAAGGCGGTTGGCATATAATTTTGGCACACAGCCCATTTGTGGGTAAAGATGGTGGTGAATGCGCTTATTGGTGGTTGATGGTGGTATCACTAGTATATCACTTATGCAATGGAAGAAAGGAGGGACAATTGAGAGGTGAAGCAAGATGGGAAGATAACAACGATTATTTGGAGGGTAAGGTTGTAGCCTGTAGTAGCGCTAGTGAGACGGTAAAGAGTAGTTTATGACGTTAGTGAAGATGGGTTTGAGTGTTTGACCTTTTGAACAAGTACCCAGCGTTATTATAGCCTATTTCGGGAAGATGTTTCCAAAAGTTGGGATTATTCCCAGATTTTTAAATGTTGGGACCAATTTGAGAAGACTGGCAAAAGGTGGGAACATTATTGTAAATTTTTCATTTTTATTTTTTATTTTTTTAATATCATAAAAATTGAACTTGTAATTATGCTTTCATCAAGCTTGAACATGTGAGAAAACAATACCAAAAATACTATAAGAAAACATTAACCAAAGAGAAAAGTTGTAATAAATGAGGCGATGTACAACACCTTTACTTAATTCTTCCATCTAACATATTGTTTGGCCTAATTGTCACAAGATGTATTTTGAATTACTCAAATGTCTTCGAAATTGTTCTTTTGACTACTGCAGACCAACTTAAAAAATAAATAAAATAAATAAAATAAAATAAAAAAATGCCAATTTGGTCGTTTGGTATTCAAATGTTTTGACTGATGAGTTGCGGAAAATATGTTTTCAGATAAGTTCAAATCAGCATATAAAGTTGGAAAGAACACACCTAATACCTTAGATATCCATTCTTCGCACAGCACAATATATTATAATTAGTTTGATTTTTTTGGGATATGCTACTCAAGTGGTTAATTATTGTGGCAAAGTAGGCTTACCAACTACGTCAGCTTCACAAAGGTAGCCAATGCTTTGAAATCCCAGAGCTCGAATTATGGAACCACTGGACTCAATGCACGCCTATTGATATAAAATTTAAAAAGAAAGCATCAAGATAATGAACAAGGAAACTTATGGTAAGGTAGAAGAAGATAAAGAATGAACCAAAAAGACAGGTGGCAGAAGCAATAAAACATCCATACTGCTACAGATAGAATCAGCTGTACACCCCTTTCTGGATTTCTTCTGCAAACATCCCGAAGAGAAGCAGCCATACTTATAGAAATAGTTTCATCAAATCTGAATTCCACAAAACATTCCGGCAGCAGGAAGCTCTATATAACACAAAGGAAACCAAAATTTATCAAGAAGCTCCAGAACTTGCAAGTCAAACAATTTAAACAAATAGTTATTAGAAAGGATAATACTCCAGTCTCTGATGGTCACACTAATTCCATCAGTTTATTTCTATATGTAAGTACTTATCCTAGAACCAACAAATAAAACGAAAGTGAAAACTGAAAGCAGCCAAACAATTTTTATTCCGCAAAGGGCAAACCAAGAGAAGAGAAGGAAGAAAGAGACCAGAAAACAACACAAATTATATCAGCCCAAAGAAAAATATAGTTTGAAACAGAATATGATGAGAAACATTCATGCCAGGTCCACAAACGAAGCTTATAAGAAACATAGATCCTCTTATGTAAACTACATATTATTAACTACATAAACTAAATATTATTAACTTAGATCCTTCAGCAACAAGATTTTATACAATTAACAAAGACAGATAGCACCCTTACACGCAAGCTCCCGAAGACCCTATCATTAATCTCCCACGCCTTACAAAGCAAACGAAGTGCAGTTGCATACAAGACCCTGCAAATGAAATAAACTATCAGAACTAGTGTATATTTTGACCTTTATGAAAACAACAAAAAATAAAAAAATAAATAAAACCATAAAAGCAGAATTTTGCAAAGTGATAGCTCTTAAGCTCTAGCAACAAAGTACCCAAAAAAATATAACAAGAAAATGATGCTTAAGAGTATCATCAGAGAGATTAACTCACATAAAAATAAACAAAATTTACAACAATAAAAATAGTAAGTTAAAATGCATTCATAGCAAGAAAAAAAATATCCAAGAAACAGGGTTCAGCAAAGATATCCTAAATGGTATCCTCCTCTTTGGTTTATTCTTTCAATTTCTTCTTGAGAGTTTGATTATCTTACTTGACTTATTATATTTCTCAGACAATTGAGTTGCATGACTGAATTGAACCAATTCCCTTTTTGAGGGACAAATATACATAGAGCATTTTTATTTATCATGGATATGCAAATTTAATTATTAAAATGCATACAAGCACAGGAAATCATTGTAGTAATTAAAGTAACCAATGCACTTACGGATTTGAATCCTTCTGAAGCATTGGTAGGATTGTTTGGAATATCAATGGTAGCATTGAGGAGTTTGAAGCAAGTACAGATAGCATTGTCAAAAGTTTCAACTGCAACATTTTAAAAGTTTCTTGTTATTGTTGTATTTGTCCCTTCTCCATAATATTTCCTCCATTTCACTAAAGTTGCAGCACTTGCATAGTTGCATATGAAACATTAATTTAGGCAAGAGAGAGACAAAGCAACCCATGTGATACACAAAAAGTAAGTGCAAAAAAATTATTTTAAGCAAGATAGAGGGGAGAGGAGAGAAAAATAGTGGGCCAAGCGTGAGCGAAGAAATGATACATTGTAGAAGTCACGAAAAGGTGAAGTGTAGCATTTTTTTATTTGAAATATCCTGAAGTAGCAATTGTTGCAATTTTTTGTTTTTTTTTTAAACAAAGGAAGTACATAAATATTTATCTATATCTGAAAACGTACTCGTAAGTTATTAAGTATGAAAAGTCTTTTTTTTCATGTGTAGATAAAGCCACAAAAGGCAGTGTGGTAGATGACTATAAAGGATTAAATCCTAGATCATGGCCTCATGGGTACCCCGACTACTACCCCCCAATACAACACTTACCAAGCTAGTTAGCGTCCACAGAATAACAGAAAATTTGATAGGCTTGAAATTATACATACTTGGTGAGCTAGTAATAGAGAGAAAGACACTCACTAGCCATTCGTTACATTCTTTGATGTTTGACCTTATTAAATTGCAATAGTACAACACAGCTAGCAGCAGTGAAACACCAAGTTTGGGCTCCATATTGCTGAGAGCAGCTAATGTTTCTATAGCACTGCTTCCCAAAGATTGATTTACAACCAGACTTCCAGCAAGCGCACCCAGCACAAAAGGTACCTCTACATGCATCAAATAAAGAAAAAAATTATCATAATTTCATTTCAGACATGAATTACACTCTCAGCTTTGATACAAGTACTTTACCAGTTGATACGACTTCGTGAGATGATGATATGAGGTCAGAGGACTTGTGTCTCTCAGCAATAGACAAAGCATATTTTCCTAGATGAGATAGCCAAGATTTTGATCCATTCTCATAAATTCTATTTCCATAGGCAGAATAAATATTTAGAAAGAAAGAACAGGGGGGTAAATCCTGCAAGATATGTGGGCAAAGGAAAATGGCATCAATTACATTTATGGATTACAGCTAGTGAATTCAATAAACTTTCTCAAGCATCATACCACAACTTTTTTTAATTGCTTTGATCTAACATCATACCATACAATCATAAAGGGCATCATATCCTATGGAAGTCTAAGTACCCTTCAATGCCTTCATATCCTATGGAAGTAATGGAACAAGGTTCTTTCTCCCTTTATCTTATAGGTCCTCTCTTCAATTCTACATAAATAATAGCTAATCTAATTGTTCAATTGTAGCTATTAGTGTGGTATTGAAGAGAACAATTAGTTTGCTTTATTGCATTATCAATAGCATTTTAACCAGGAAAAACAATGCAACGAGTCAAAAAAAAAATTTAGGCATGAACCTTAATCATTCAAAGAACATAGAAAGAAGAAAACTACCTGAAGCCATAAATGCCTCAGAAGCCTAAAGATGGTCATTTCAAGCTTGCTTACAAACAAAGATTCCCTTTGAATAGATAGTTCGTCCTTCAACGAGGTTGAACGACTTACAAGGAGCTTTTCCAACATCAAAAGAAACTGAGATGCTGCTTGTTTCACAGTGTTTGAAGGAGACGACATCAAGCTGATGATAGGAAAAGAGAACAAAGACACTTCCCATGGGTTACATACAGCTCCAGCCATAACATTCTCTGCAAATGAGTATGGCCATTAGAAATTTGATTAAAAAAGCGATAAGTTAGAGCTACATATATCACAAAAACAGAAAGCCATGCAACTCAGAGGTTTACATGCATTCTATAAATCAGAAAAACTAAACTACACACTCCATTATTTATGTTCAATATCATGGATAGGAGTAGTTTCATTCCTAAGGGGTCTGCAACATTTCATTTCAAAAGCTAGAGTAAAATTCACTCTAAATTTAATCAAGTGCCCCACTTGGCTGGCACTAAGTTTAATCTTGTGTTGAATGGAATAAAATATTGTATAAGTGGAGTTTGTTGGGGGATTAAAAAGTATAGAAATAAAGAGATAGTGGGTTGATATCATTCAAGAGTAAAGCATGTGAGACAAGAAGAATAATAATAAAAAAAATAGGAGTGGAGACCATGTAATCTTTTATTTTTTGTCACACCTCTTGTCATAGTACTCATCTCAACGATCATGATCGTTAGCTAAACAGCTTTCTTTCACCAGAATCTAGCAAACCAAAGCTTCAACCTACCAGCTTGCCAAATAACAAAGGAAGGAAGGCTGGGAGGGGAGGAGAATGTTCTCACCATCATGAATTCTCCACTTGAGGATGTATGCTAGGAGATCAAGGACATATAACTTTTCATCTTCAAGTTCCAATTGAGCTAGAAGCACAAAGAGAGATAACATAGGAGAGAAAAGTTGAGGGAGATAGTGCAATTTAAGCTCTTTCTGGAAACTCAAAAGTCTCCTTGATAGTTCAAGGACAGGCTTGCTTTCAATACTACGTGTTTCAAACTCCAAGCACAATGTGAGAAGAGCGTCCAACAGTTTCACCCCAATTAATTGAGCTTCGGTAACCATCTATCAAATAAAAATTGAATATCAGAATAGCAAAACGAAGCAATAAATCTCTTCTTCTGCATAAATAATTAGCAAGTATAGGTAAATTTCATATAACTGTCACTCTTTACAAATGATCGCTCTGGATTTTGCAATTGATATTAGAGAATATGGACTCTCCCATAAGATTCATGAAAAAATATAAAGATAGCGGATTTACATCAATGGCTCTCCTCTCCCTCCTTCCCTCCCTTTTCCCAGCCCTCCGTTGGCTACAAGGCACAATGGCACCTAGATTCAGTACCAGGAATAGCATGAATCTTTCAGAAATTCTCCCCCAGCCGGTTTGGATTTAGGAAGAAGTATGAATTCCATTAAAAGAGTAAGATAATGCAACCCATACCTCTTCTTTTACCATAATCTGCCCTTTTAATCTTTTTCAATTCTTTATTTTGATTCTTGTAACTACGGACATACAGCACAACAGCATCGTCAACATAAGTGGTTTTACATGTATATTGACACCAGAAGCAAGAGGGATTTCCATTCATTAAAATAAAGGTACTCCATCTTGTTTTTTTTTTCTTAACTTCTGGCACTAATTAATAAGACCCCACATGACTTTGTTTTATAATAGCTATGACTCAGAAAAAGCAAGTCAAAGCAGAGTTTGTGAATGGTGCCAAACGTCAAAACGTGTAAACTAAAAAAGAACAGAGGAAATATATATTAATAGTTAAAGTTGTGGGCCAGCAAAAGTGCAAGTCAAATTGGAACAGCTAAGAAAATAAAGGGAGTAGAAACAAGTGCTACATTGAGATGAATTAAAGGAGGGGAGAAATGAGGAAAAGAAAACATACAGATCCAATCTTAACTAAGTGCTGCAAAACTACACCGTGCGCATCCACTAATAATTCAGCAAAAATGACAACTTTCCCAATATCCTGTAAAAACAATCAGACAAAGGCAGTAGTAGTTTTTTCAAGTAAAAAGTTCTCTTATTCTACCAACAGACAAGATCAATCCTCAAAATTTTTAATGTCGTACAGAACTTCATGCTCCAATCTACTTACCTCAGCACCTCTAAGGCTAAAGCATCTCAAACAATCAATCAGCATCTCCAAAAGGGGACTCGCCTCATGAAGTAAGGAGCAACAAAGAGACATCAACGAATAAATCACAAGACTCAAGAATGAGGACAATGACGAATCTGAAGAGCATGACACCACAACAGAGAAGGTTAACAGAGGCCTCAAGTAGTCACAGACTTCACCAATTCCATTTTGCTTGCCATGCACCACAAACAATACAACTTGTTGCACAAGTTCATTTTGTGACTCTGAACGGCATGTTAAAACCTGGAAACACAAAATGTTTCAAAATTTAAGCATTTTGAAAACTTTGACAGCCATATGGAGCACAGGGAGTCAAATGTTTTCAGCAATAATAGATCCCAAAATTTAAAACATGGGAATCCCCAGTTTACTTCCAGTAAGATAGAGCACATGTTCACCAATAAAAGGCAGCAGTTAAAAAATTCTCTATATTTGAAATGTTACCGTACAAAAGCAATATTACAAAATATTCAATGCGTCGTAAGTAAGCTCTAAATCTAAGTGCACAATGATACTATTCCCCTATAAATTACATATCAGGATTTATCGAATTTGAGATCAAAGTGGCATAATTACAAGCCCTATTAGTTTTGAGCAAATTTAAAGGTACACTTTTAGAAGCCATACTATTTATCTCACAAGCCGAAAGAAAGCAATTCAAGCCTTTTGCTAGTCAGTCTTCTTAAGAGGTAAAATTCATCAATGTAAAAGGAAAGAGGCACATAAAAAGTGAACCAAGAATCCACTATTATGTCCAATCACCAAGATCCTCTTTATATATCATTGCTAAGGCTCCCTACAGTATCTGTTAACTTAACCTGGTACAATAAAATCATAAAGACTACTAAAATAAGTACAAATATTACTAAACTGCAAGCAATTCACAGGTGTCATTTTACTGTCACTTTTCATGCCATAACTTTTCCTGCATCTGTCTGTTAGTTCTCAATCATGACCAGAAGCATTATTGTTGATTCAAAGGTGTTCAGGTTTCAAAATTTCTTGTTCATAGTGCTACATGTAAGATCAAATAATTCCCTCATAGTTTTCAGAGTTGAAATAGATGGTGGAGTAAAAGACATATATTTACCAAAAAAAAAAAGTTTAAAGTGATTGATAATTTGATGTGCATTTTTCTTGAAATTAGCAATATACATTTTGTTGCACTCGGTAGTCAAACATTAAAGAGAAGTGATAAATCCTTCCTGAAGCATTCCACAACATTTGCTAGCCAACTTTGGTAACTCTACAAAATTTATAAGGTAAAGTTTAAATTAGAGAAGAATTCACATGGTATTTGACTGTTTCTTGCTATTAAGAAGCCAACATAAAGGCTGTTTTGGACGCTGGAAGCTTAGGTGAGTCAGCCCCTGCTCTGTAAAAAGGAGTTGATTAGGTCATAGTGGGATAGGGAAATCTTGTAACATTAATTTACATCATACAGTTTTAAAGGGATGTCTGGTAGCATATATTTAGTTTGTCAATGAGCTGCTGCAGTGCTGCAACTGCCACAGGGAATCGGAATTCAGCAAAGTGCCTGTGGCTAGGTTGCATTGCTCATTTGTGGAATGATCTGCTATACGGAATTGAGAAAGAAGATCAGTCTTGAAAGACAACCAAAATCTCCCCTTTTTATAGAATGAAAGAAAGATGGTAAATTAGAGTTTGACAAGAATGAACACTGCAACTACAACAATTGCATGTGTCGAGGATGTCACGGTGTTTTTCAAGTGGTAAAGAGGATCAAATGAATTGTATAAAAGTTCTGCTAATTGTCATGTTGTGTACTTTGCCATATGTATACATGCTCCCAACATCTCTGTTTAGTTGACACATTTTCCTTATAATTCTTCCCAATTAACATAGGCCAGGAACAGTCTGGAACAATACTGCTAGGTGTAGCCAAACTATTCACTTTCTACCAAATTTAAGTAGCTTAGTAATAGTTTTTTTTCCCTGCTCATTTTTTTCAAAAATTGATACTTATTATGCTGTTAAATGTTTGAACTTGAACTATCCTGCCAAGTACAGTACAAAGCTGCGCATTTAGGCCATGATTCATCAGCATGCATAATCAATTAATCATGCATTGACTAGTGTAGTAGTGCAAGGAGGCCATGTATGTTTGTGCATAGTCATGCACCCACACATAAGAGTTAATACGCTTTGGATGATCATAGTGAAATTCAAACTTCGGCTTTATGTTCTCATCATCATTTTAAGGTGTACTAGTCTAAAATTATAAGGTCTGCTCTAGTCAAGTCTGATAACGTCTGCTCTTGTCAAGTCTGATGTGGACTGCTTCTCTTATGTTGAGTCTAGTCTAATTTACAATTTGGTCTATAATTATTGCGCGCTCTGAATTGTTATTTTCATAATTTTGCCTACTTGGTTATAACTTTTTCTGGTTTAGTATGGTCGCGTGTTAACAAGAATAAGTATTAAACAAAACCTCATTCTTGTTAATATGTAAACATAAAGATGATAAGGGAAAGTTCGAGAAAATACCAAGTTTTTTTCATGATAAACAAAAAAATGTTTATCTAGTGGCATTTTTTAAATAAATCAACAACTTTGTGTGGGCATATAATTTGATTCAAACTTACTGCAAACTTAGTGCAACTATAAAATTTGCTTTAAACTTTGCTTGGTGCAACCTTAGTTCCATATTACTTATCGTCTCATTTCAATTCATATTAATTCAAACATAAATTATATTCAACAATAAGAGCAACGAAAAATCAAGCAAGCAATACAAATTATAAACAAAATCGATAAATAAAACAATTCAATGCAATTGTTTACCTTAACAAATGGATGATTCTCTGGGGCATGAACAAAATTTTCTGAAACAAACCCCCTAGTACGAAACCCGAAACGAACAAGAAACCCAATTCCTTTAACAAAGACATTGACGAAGCGAGGCGGGCAACCTTCAAGAGCAGATTGAAGCTCAAGAAGGGCGAAAGAATGGTCTAATTTGGAGTCCTTGACGAGGCGACAAAGCTCGCGCACTGATTGATCAACTACAGCAAGTGAAGAGGATTGAAGGCACTGAGTAATAGCCTCTCTTTCTGGGTCTGAATTAGGGTTCACGATTGAAGGTGTTGAACGGAGTTTTTCGAAAATTTGAATAACAGCGTAGCGTTGAAGTGAGGGTTGGGGCACCCTAGTTCGCACTAGCAAGGGAGCGTATGCTTCCATGGGAGAGTAATTGAAGAAGAAATTATGCGCATTAATGAATTACTGGGAGAATTGGACAGTGTAAGAGGAATGGCGCCGATAAAAGAGGATGCCGCGGTGTTGCTCTGGGAAAGTTGTCGGAGGAAGAGAATAGCTTAGGCCCGGAGGAATGGAGTGGCGACAATCGAGAAAGTACAAGTCAATCATATACCAACTATGTAAGGTAATTTCAGCAATAAAATTGGGGACAAATAAGTAATTTGAATCTTCTTCCCTTCTCACATCAATACATCACAGCTATGTGTCACGTGTTGACTACTTTGTCCTAGTCACGCACCGTGCGCCACTTGCTTACAGTGCGTCGTAAGACAGGTCAGGCTTTCTTCCTTGGCACTACTCCTTGTGCCCACGTAGCACAACCCTTTGTGCTGTTAGAATATATTCACTAGCACGTCCCCTTGGTGCTAACAAGATCCCTTGGTTGAACTAAGCACTCACCCTTAGTGCCTTACTCCGAATTTACGACTAAGTGTCGTAGACAGTTGAGCACACAAGCTAACACTCTTGCTAGTATGCCCGAATACTGATCGGGGGACAATAGGTCGTTACTACTGCCAAGATCAAATCTACAATTTTCACTCCTAACCTAGCTCTATCAAATTTATACGATATAGTGGCAAGTTAGGGTCAAATTCCAAACAAACGGGGTAATGCACGATCAATGTGAAATCTAGAATCTATTGCAAGTAACAAAAGGGGGGTATTATAGTTTGTTTTGAGAAGTTTTATGATTTTACTATCTACCATAAGAGACCTAATCAAGCCAAAAATAAGGAGATTGAACTAGACACTCTAAAATGAAAATGATAAGCAAGACTATAGAGATAATAAGGGCAAAAGGCACTAGGGAGAGGGGGTTTAAATCATGACCAACAAGAGAACTAATGAAAATCAATATGGATTCATGCCAAGGAGTATAAACTCTACTCAAAGTAATTCATTCTCATGCAACTACTCAAACCAAGTTGATGAAATCAATCAAACCTAAACTAGATCATTCTCATGCATCTAATCTAGGACTATTATAAAGGGGTTAAAGGTGCACAATAATAACTCCAAGCATTTTTAAGCACAAACCATCAACTCAAGGCAAAACCAAATCAATAATCAATAGAAACTCAAGCAAACATGATTCTCACCCCCCTTCCTTAGCTAGAAATCTAAGCTAGAGAAAGGAAAATAGCCATAACAACTAAACTAAACATGTATTCAATCCTAACAGAACTTAACATGATTCTAAATCAAGGAGAAAGCAAAGAAACAAGTAAAGCAAGGAAATTTATGGAAAAAAACACTAATTAGAACAATAAAACTAAAAACTAGAGAATAAGGAAAAGTGATTACTATTATAAATGTTGAGGGATTAGCCAAACATGAAATAATTGCAATAATCTTGAAGAAAACTTGAATATCTTTATTACAAAGATTGAAACTTGAAGACTGGCTATTTTCTCTCTCTAAAAGATGTTCATATTCTCTCTCTACAGAGTGTTTTTGATGTCAATGGAATAGTGGATACATGAAGATTCAAGCCAAAGACTATTTATAGTCTCTTGTTAAAACAAGGCAAACGGGCATGGGAGAGGCCTCTCCAGTCAAGCTGCCGCGACCTCTCCTTCGTGGGTACGAAGTTGGGAAAACCCAGCTCGCCGCGCCCGCGGCCCTCTGAGTCGCGCCCTCTCCAGGCCTTCTCCCAGCCATCTCCAGAAACTACTATGTAGCTCAGGATGCACCTGTCCGCGCCCGCGGCCCTTTGAGCCGCGCCCTCTCCAGGCCTTCTCCCAGCCATCTCCAGAAACTGCTATGTAGCTCAGGATGCACCTGTTCGCGCCCGCGGCTACTTGTAGCAGTGTGCCCTCTCCTTTGCAGCATCTCCTCTTCCTCTGCAGCATCTCCTCTTCCTTGAGCAAGCTACCTTAGCAACTCCAACTCCGTTTAGCAATCCAAAATTCGCCCACGAATGCTAGGAGCTATTAAAACACACGAATAGAAGGTAAAAAGTAAAAGAAAAGATAAAAGAGAAGGAAAAACACGAGAGGGAGCTAAAGTAACTAAAATAAAGGTAAAAACGGTAATAAGAGGTATAAACAAGTGAAAAATCGGGGGAATTCTCTAGTGAAAAAGGGTGAAATGGTGGCATAAATGCCACTCATCAAAATCCCCCACACTTGCCTCTTGCTTGTCCTCAAGCAAAACTAAGAAAAGAAAGACAAAATGAACACTACAAAGACAAACACAACATGGCAAGGCTTAAAAAGTAAATCGAGTTTTAGGGTGGACATGTGCTCTATTCGGACTCAAAAGGGGAGACAAGCGCCAAAGAATACTAGTCTTTCTCAATCACACGATGTAAACACGCCCCAAGATGCCAATGGTTGCAATAGTCAAGCCTAAGCTAAGCATAGAGAACTAGTGATTCATTCTCCGCCCTAGTCCCCTCTAAAACGGCCCGCGTTCTCCCCACTAGCTTCAAATCATCCCCCTAGTTGGCTCCTCATGATTCCACAAAGGAACCGGAAAAAGATTCTTTTTAAGGAGGTATAAAGTCATCCCGACATATCAACTATGCATGCTTTCTCCATAGGGTTGAAAACCATCTCCCTCCACCGGTTTTTGACCACGCCCCCCTAAAGTCTAAGGGTCTTTACTAGGGTTGTAATGACCTGGCTGAAGGTAAAGGTAGGGAGATCATTTGAAATAGTGGTGGCAAATCCTAAGTGGAGTAAGAGAATGGCCAACTCTCATAGACAAAACTCAAGAAACGACCACAACTCAAACGAACATCCATCATTTCGATTTCAATACATTACCATCCTTATTCAATGGAAAGGAACTTCAAAGCCTTTTTTTTTATTTTTAGGAAACTTCATTTGATCCTCTTAGATTGCATCTTTCTTCTCAAGCTTTTCTTGCACGTTCATATACAAGTTTAACTTTCAACTCTTTGCTTCGAACCAATTCTCCACATAATTCTTGCTCATATTCACTACGCTCACTACATTACCCTCACACACCAAATGCTTCACTAACTAAAAGGGTTGGTAAAACATAGGTCGCTAGGCTTGTAATGCGGTCAAGATAAGAATGGGAAACATTAGGCTCAAATTGGCTAGCAAGAAGGTTGGTGCAAACAGAAAATCAAATTTGTAACTAAACAAAAGAAAACATAAACGAAAATGAGAAAAGGTGCCCTTTCCTCCCCTAAAAGTGCTAGGTCACGATCTCGGGAGCTAGAAATCAACACAAGGATTAAGACATGCATAGTCGAGGATCCTAAAATGCCGCACAACAAATTGATGAAGGCTTGAACAAAATAAACCTCACAAGGGATGAAAAAGGTAAGCAAATGCCAACTAAAGGGCTTCAAATCCACTACAGGGAGCAACTCCATCTTACCACTTCCCATGAACTAAGGGTTCAAACGGCCTCACAAGTTCTTAACCTTGCTACCTTAGCTAAGGTTTGTCTAATTCAACCAAAGGAAATCTCAAACCATGCATCTCATCATAAAGTTAAGAAGAAACAAGCATTCTAAGGCGCATCATTAAGGAAACAGAGTCCAAATGTACAAGCAAGTTCCAAAACACATTCATATCATCTTGCCATAATCATGTTTGTCACACAAAAGAAAATAAAAACAGAACAAAAGAAGGAAGAAATCAAAGAGGTTCACACATGAGGCATATAAATCCAAATAAATCTCAATTGACATACAATGATCGTTGGGTATCAACACCAACGATCCCAGGTTCCTTGGAACCAAATGCAGACAACCTCGAACCATTCAACTTCTTTCTATACTAGTCCTAAACTAAACACGCCAAAAGAAAGAAAAGAGAGAGTAAAGGAAGGATCTCACCCATATGTCACTTGAAGAATAACGTAGCAACCTTACGATTTACCATGTCTCCATATGTTGCTTCCATTTTTCTTCAAGGCTAAAAAAGAGAGAGATAAAAGCAAATGCTATACAAAGAGAAAAGGTTAGTAAAGGAAAAGAAAGAAAAATCTACCAACTCAAACTTTGGGCATAACCGACTACCCAAAATCAACTCAATCTCAAATCCTCATCATCATCATAAAAATAGACATCATCAACAACAAACACAAGCAATGCTACCAAGAGCTTACCAACAACACCCAGCAACAAGACCCAAACCCAAATCTCCTCATGTAACACCCCCTAAATTCGGGTCTTTGTAAAACGATAAGAGTAACCCTTTTTACCTTTCAAAACCAACCATCGAACTTTGGGAGTGTTACTGCTACACTTATTTTCCATAGAAAATAAACGCAAAGCGAAACAAAATACCATTTTATAAACTAAGTGATCTGAGTGGCGGCAAGAATAAAATAGTCGTTACATCCAAACTGTAAAACATTTTTAAAAAAAACATTAATTATAAAGCAAATTAAATAAGTTCGGAATTAAACTAAATTGTCTTAGCTACGTGATTATTCTAACGTCTCCTCACACGTAATCGAATACCCTTTTACCAACCTGCAAAATAAATCAGAAACAAGAAAAGAGAGAAAACTCCCAAAATCAGATAAACTGAGTAATTCCAACTCCATCTGGTAAATAATAATTTTAGTTCGAAAAAATATTTTACACAACACAATTTTATCGACATTATAATCATAAGTTAAAATCAAGCTGTCACATAAAACTCATTACTTTAGTTAAGAAAGGGAAAGAGAACGCCACTAAGCCGGGACTAGTCCCTGTCACCACCTACTTTACAGAGGGTCGCGCATAACCCCAAATGGCCATAAATTAAAAAGAATGTCCCTAGTGTGCACACCCCTCACTAATACCCATTGATTAGGAGGAAGACTACACAACAATATACGTCAATTTAAACCAACTAGTAGCAACCATAACTACTAGTGGGCAACCTGTTCTTCACCCTTTCGGGTTTCATTTCCCTTCTTAATTGAATGTATACTTTAATAGATTAAATTGTCCAATCCCATTGCACACGAGTATTGCACAAAATCAATTTAATCCCAAGTGATAGTATTTCAATTTCAATATTATTAGAACATAGTCATTTTACATGACATACTAGTTACAACTCGTTTCCCAATAGGCCTTGGAGACCATCAATCACATATAATCAATCGTACCAATTCCTAGTATTTTTAAAAAAATACTTATACGATACCGATTAATCAATTTTTCGAAAATACTTATACTAGTACACAAAATATAAAGATATCAAAAATATGACCCCGTAGTA